CACTGCCATAACCAGGAAGTTGTGTGTAGTTCGTACGTCTCCTTGTGTTTGGTTTTGAATCAGGGTTTTTGGCCTTCTCCTCTAGATGAACTACCGGTGGTCCACCAACGCGGCTGTGGGCTTTTCGTCCTCTCACTTTAGCGAGAAATCACGTGTTGTCCCGTCAATAGAGATATCACAAGCGTCTATATGGTTAAAAATAGACCGTAGTACTCATAAATGGAAAGTCGTTTAGATCCCAGTCGGAAAGCCAGCCCTTCTTAATCAATCGGTGCACTTCGGGCATCGGCTTGACGTCCTTTGTTGACCTTGAAGTGATTTACCCAACCCGACGCGATGTGCTATGGAGAGCACGAAATACTATTCAACTCACTCCGTTTTTCCCAAATGCACTTCATTGCATGTGTTTTGGGAGTCGCTGACGTCTCCAATGTGTTAGTGAATACCCAGTTATGCAACACGCAATGTTCCCATCGTACGCGGTAGGTGAATGAGAATAATCAGGGCTGTGTATCATAGTTTAATTCATGATTCTGTACTCGTTTCGAGGCTATCGGAGCTGGAACTCAGATGGATACTCTATTACATATACCCGGGCGTCAGCATTCTCAAGGGCACTGGAAAATTGCCTAATTGATGTTGTTTATAACCAGTTGACAGGTCCACATGGGTTACACTCGAAGGATGAATGCTGAAGTCGATGAATGATCTGCAATCAACGAATGCGAGCAGATTGCACGTGTTGCTTTGAATGAAGTAGCAAGTGCACCGACGCCCTTTGCACGCAATAGTGAGTGCACTCAGCAACTGTTAGAAATTGCCCGATAATTCCAGTTCAGTAATATGAAATTAGGATCTTGGATGGTAGGCAGTCGTACTGGTGATCGAGGTGAGGTCACGTCAACTGGACTTCAGAATGGAACAATATATCCAGCTACGAGAAAAGCCAGCATTCGGGGCTATAACTGGGTAATACATCGGATCACGCTTTGATGCTCATTCTATCCGGTGATCACGGCCACCGATGCAAATGTTTGTTTTACGCCCCTTCACGGTCGATTTGCGATCAGGGTTTTCAGTGCTATTAGTCTAGTGACCCAGTTACAGCCTCGGGCTTTGGCCTTTCGTGCTCTCATTTGGGAAGGGATGAATTGGTCCTCCCAGACGTCTATGAATCAAAGGTGGTTCTCCTTTAGTAGTGAAAAACGTTCGAAATTCAGACAATCCGTAGCCCGATTGGGAAAAATGGCTGAGAGTTCATTTTCAATCACGTTCATTAAAGGCCGGTATGCTACATAGATACCCACTTTCCTGGGGTGGGGTTGATAGTATTTCGCTCTACTATGTGCACATGATCGAAAACAAGTTTGTTTTATCAAGTCAAAATAAAAATCCGTTTCGTTTTTCCCAACACACGCTAACGAGCCATCATCATCTGACAACAGAAAGCAATGCAGTGACATTCGACGATCGCTGTCAGACTCGCAATGCATACCAAGTAATTGGTTGTACGTGAGCTGGACAGGAAATGGGCATTTTTCAAAGAGGAGGAGAGTCAAACTACTATGGTCAATACAGAGTACATGATGTGTTCACACTCATGCGTTCTGATCTGATAACAAATGACATCATTTTGACTCGTCACACGTGTGACCGATCAAATTGTACGCTCCCATTTTGATCGGAATCTCTCGGCGAAATCTCATCGTACATAGTCCAGTTCACGTTCATTCGATCCAACTCTGTGAGCTCTATCTTTCGATATCGTTCGNCTTTCGATATCGTTCGCTTGGAAGTAAATTACTCACCATTCCATTGACCCGTTATTTTCTACTTTCATTGAAGCTTTGGGATTTACTCACACGTGCAAAGTTGTGCAATTTTATTCGCTATGTTAATATTGTGATATCGCTCAAAAGGAAATTCGACAATCTTTCCAGCGAGTCTTGATTGAACTTTCCAAGTTCAATTTCAAGCATTACGGATATATTTGTGCTCTCATTGTTACCACCGCATTCGATCGATACTCACAACATGACCTTTGTCACTGTTCTGTGCACTTATGATTTCCGTTGACCGGGACCAGTGGGCGACCGAGACAACTTCTTCTGCTATTTGATAAAATGCTAAAATAGAACTTCCTATTGTGTCAACAAGTGCCGCATCAGGTGTTTCGACGGCACTAGGTGTATGTGGCCAACGAACTTGTAAGAAAGACGTTAAAACAGGGATATTGTGTACACACTGCCTGAAATACTTTCATTTTTCATGTACCAAACTAGTGATAAAATAGGCAAACTAAGTTGCCTCTCAGCCAGAATGTATATGATTCCATAAGAATGTGCGGAAATCCCAATCCTAAAACGTATCACACAAAAGTAGGAGAAGCTATTTTCAGCCACCGAAGAAGGAGTGAATCTAAAAATGGCTACGCTTGAGGCAATAATAACCGCCAAAAGTTCGCAGATCACACACCATTAGGCCCGATCCGAAAAACTAGCACAAACGGTCACCCCACAGCACAAACAAATGGCACAAACGTTTCCGAACCCACAGACAGTATTGTCATCGCGACAGAGAGAAGACAAGGCGATGTGCTGTGAGTGCAAATGGGGATTATCGCCCAACCTGTTGTTCTCAAGCGCCTTCGACTAAAGCTGACTGTACCTCATGCTGCAGTTAAAGTAGGCACCGATCACGAATTACAAATCACGTGTCAGAAATCACAGACACCACGTAAGCGCTGAATTACACTGACAGTGGCACGATGGTATTCCACGTAACCGAGACTCAAGGAAATGGCCACAAAAATAGTAGTTCATTTATTGAAAGGAATCATGGGGTTTAAATGATATGTACAAAAGAACTTCATTGGTCATCTAGTCATTTACCAATTGGGTACTCGTATTCCTCGCATCGTAAAGCTTCTGTCT